ACCATGACGAGAGTGTGCCACCTCAAGGCCCAAACAATATTTTAATCTGCCCAACTCTTTTACTTAAAACTCTTTTAGCAAACACACTTTTAGGCTATCCATTTCTGCTTGATGATTTCCTGTTACAATTATATCATCCACATAGACAATTAGTGCAGTTTCTCCCCCTAAGGCTGAATGCTTAGTAAACAAAGTGTGATCTCCCTGACTTTGTTTATATCCCATATCTTTCATCACAGTGGTAAACCTACCAAACCAGGCCCTAGGGGACTGTTTCAGTCCATAAAGGGCTTTCCTTAGCTTACAAACTTTGCCTTTCTCAAAGTTAAACCCAGGTGGGACCTCCATGTAAATTTCCTCTTCAAGGTTGCCATGTAGGAAAGCATTCTTGACATCGAATTGCTGCATATTCCATCCATAGTTAGCTGCCAGAGATAACAAAATTCTGACAGTGCTCATTTTTGTGACGGGAGAGAAAGTCTCATGATAGTCAATTCCATATGTTTGTGTGTACCCCTTAGCTACTAGTCTTGTTTTATACCTTTCTAGTGTTCCATCGGACTTGTATTTAAGGGTGAATACCCATTTACAACCAACAAGTTTTTTTTCATTAGGAAGCTCTACTAAATTCCAAGTTCCATTTTTCTCTAGTGCATCCATTTCGACTTTCATAGCTTCTCTCCACTCTTTGCTATCTAGTGCTTCGGTAACCGTTTTTGGGATAGAGGTTGTGTTTAAATGAGCAAGAAAACTTCTATGATTGTTGGACAAATTATCATAGGATATAAAGTGAGACAATGGATATCTTGGCCTTTTTGTACATGCTCTAACATCCTTCCTTATTGCAATTGGAAGATCTCTAGCATCCATGGATATATTCTGCTCCTCTAAATCAGTCCCATCAACTTCAGTTTCAGGGGGCACAATTTGCTCCTCTAAAACTGTCTCATCAATTACAGTTTTAGGAATTGGGTCAGATTCTGGGACTTGCACAGGTTGGATAATAGGTGCTGCCCTTCTTGTGTAAACTTGTAGTGGACGAGTAGCATTAGGAGGTCTTAGGCATAAAAGAAAGGTCTTTGCACAAATCATCATTATCTTCTATGTATTCCTTCTCCCCCTGAAGATAAGGTTTGGAAAAAAAGGATTCGGTTTCGACAAAAGTGACATCAATAGACACAAAATTCTTTTTTGTTGTAGGTTGATAACACTTGTAACCTTTTTGGGTAGGGGAGTAACCAAGAAATATGCATTTAATAGCTCGAGGATCAAGTTTTCCTCGATGTGGAGAATGAACATGGACAAATGACACACACCCAAAGATCCTAGGAATTAGGTTGTTTGAAGTTTTGAAATTTGGGTAGAATTTGGAAACGAGCTGAATGGGGCTGTTATTTTGAAGAATTTGAGAGGGTAAGCGGTTAATCAAGTAGGTGGCAGTAAGAGCAGCCTCCCCCCAATATTGTTTTGGAACATTTGTGTGGAATAAAGATGCTCGGATAACATTGAGAATATGCCCAATTTTTCTTTCAGCCACCCCATTTTGTTGTGGGGTGTGGACACATGATGATTCATGAATAATACCATGTTCAGTGAAAAAGGAAGACAATGATTAAAATAATCTTTGGCATTATCAGAACGAAACAGTTTGATGGTAGTCTCAAATTGGGTTTTTATCATTTGAAAAAACAATTTAAATATTTGAGTGACTTCACTTTTTTGTTTTAAGAGATACATCCATGACACTCTACTACAATCATCAATAAAAATGACAAACCAACGGGCCCCAGATATATTTGGGACATTGGATGGCCCCCAAACATCACTATGGATTAAGGAAAAAGGAGTAGACATTCTTTTATTATTATTAGGAAAGCTAACACGTTTGTGTTTAGCGAGTTCACAATCATCACAATGAAAAGTTTCTAAGTTTATACCTTGAAACAAGGTGGGAAACATGTTTTTGAGAGTGCTAAATGAAGGATTACCCAACTGGAAGTGACGCAACCAGATTTCTTTATTGAGGGAAGGAACAGATTCTGACAACAAAGACAGTGGAAGTTGACTCTTAATGCTACTTGTCTCACGCGTTTCCATAAGAAGGTAAAGCCCATTGTCCTCTCTAGCAAGTCCAATCGTCTTCCCCGTTTCCTGATCCTGAAATTTGCAAAGTGTAGGAGCGAATGTTACTAAGCATTGTAAATCTGTCGTAAGTTTGTGAATAGATAATAGTTTGGCAGATAATTTGGGCACATGCAAGACATCTCTCAACATTAAATTTTGACTTAGTGGAATATCTCCCTTTCCTGCAACAGTAATAAAAGTGCCATCTGCAGTGACAATCTTTTTATTACTTGGACACGGTGTGTAAGAAATAAACTCAGTAGAGGAATGGGTCATGTGATTCGTAGCCCCAGAATCAACAATCCATGTCCCTTTTTCTGTAGATTGTATAACACTAAGAGCATAGAGATGAGAACTACTTGATAATGCCATGGAAGAACTACCTGTGTTTGTGGGTTTGACTAAAGAGTCTAGTAGTTCCCTTAGCTTTGTAATTTCTTCTGGATTGAAGTCAGCAGCAGCAGTAGGTTTAGAATGACTTTCCTCGACAGCACTTGATTGGACCAAGTGGGCATGTGCTGGTCCTCCTCGTTGAATGCCTTTGGTGTTCCAATTTCGATTCTGATTTGGCGGTTTTCCATGACGTTTCCAGCATCTGTCTTCGGTGTGCCTTGGCTTCTTGCAGAAGGTACACCATAGAGAATCCTTGTTATCCCCTCTTTCAATCTCCATTTTGGGAGCTCCTCCGGTTTGACCGTTCTTCCATTGGTCAATGTTCTTCTCTCGACTTTGTGTTACTAAGGCTGAACTTTCATGTGATTGAGGCTCCATCATCACTCCTCTTCGCGATTCTTCTGTTCGAAAGGCAGCCATGGTTTCATTTAGTGAAGGTAACTCTTTTCCGAGTACTTGAATCCTTATTGGATCAAACTCGTTGTTCAGACCTGTTAAGAACTTATAGATTCTATCCTTCTCCTTATAATTTTTTAGTAAAGTAGCATCTGCTGTGCATTTTGCCTCAAAATGCTCGTAGTGATCCAACTCCAACCATAGATTTTGTAGAGTTTGGGCATACTCACTAATGGACCGATCTCCTTGCTTGGTAGTCGCAATCTTCATCTTAATTTCGTAAATTTGTGCAGCATCACCAACCTTGGAATAGTTTTCTTTACAGCTGTCCCACACCTCTTTGGCAATCTTCATGAATATGCACGCATCACTAATCTCAGGCACCATGGAATTCCATAGCCATGACATTACCACAGCATCTTCTTCATCCCATGCAGCAAATTTCTTGTCTGTAGCTACTGGAGTATCCTTTCCAGTAAGATGATTCAATTTGCCCTTCCCCTTTAAAAAGGTTTGGACAAAATGAGACCATTTGAGGTAGTTTTTACCATTGAGACGAAGGCTAGGTTGAACATTTTGCAGCTCAACGGAGCCAGTGTTTGGGGCAGGGGTATTAACTGGTTCAGACATTCTGAGTTTTGTTGGAGAAAACGGCAATATAGACCGTAAAATAAAATCGGCAATGCAGGCCGCACAGCGGAAACAATGGCAATGCAGGCCACAATTTTAAACAGGCTCCTATGGATTTTGGAGCTCTGATGCCATGACAAAGATAATTGTTTCTTCTTATTATTGATAGAGCAACATGTGCTCTTAAATAGAATACAACGTACTTAGAAAAGGAAATCCCTAATAAATATTCATCATTGCCCTCAGTCAATTCTATAATTAAGGGTCAATAGTTTCTATAAATACATACACACCTAATCAAATCCTTTAAACCTATTTAAATATAAAATATACAGCTAATTAACACATGTATAGCTGGTTCTAACAGTTGTTATCAAGCTTGATGGTGATGTGTTGCCCAAACGTTTTGAACGCATTCTTCAGATTTGAAGCTGCTGCGTTGGATGTTGAAGAAGACGGTGTACTACTTCCCGGAGTTGGAGGATCCGTGAAGAATGGTGGAGGATCAGAGACGGAAGCTATTGCTGTGATGAATCACAAGCTCATAATACCATAATAGAGTTTTGTAAGAAGAGCATATTCAAGAGGGAGAGTTTTGTATTGATTAAATCTCAAATGAATTGATACACTGTTATGCTTTATATAGACAAGCTTTGCATAACAGAAAGTACAGCTCAGCATAACTAACTCTAACAGTTAGTTATGACTGATAACAGATTTATATTAAATGCTGCCAGGTCAGCATTTCTAAGCTATTCTATTCTATGCTTATACTCTAATAAGGGGTACTCTTGCCCTTACAAAGAAACAATCACAAAATCAAAAAAATTACAAACCAACTCAATTTAACAGAAACAACTCAAGGGAGCTATGCACAAGTCATATAAATTACAGTTGAATTTTGGAATTTCTCCAATCCTTCACCAATTCCACACCTCCAATTTAATTGCCGAGTCCTCGAAATTGAAAAAATAATCATGAACAGAATATTATGTCTAAGTTTCCATAAATTCCACATGGAAGCCAACCAAAAGATTCCTTCCTTAGTCACTAACAGATGCCGTCTTAAATTCCACACAGTTTACTTTTTTAATGTTCCAACTCTTCACGTTTTAATTTTTTTAATGTTCCACCTTTTCAGGTTCTACTTTTTATTGTTCCTTTTCACATTCTACTCTTTAATGTTTTTTAATATGACATATTATAAATAATAATAATAATAATAATATTGGTTCTGATATCAAATACATAACCGGCATAAAGGAAAAGCGCCAATATCTTGAGCGTCGCGAAATCGAAATGAAATACCGGCTTTCATATCGGATAGCCAAAATTTCGATACGCAATGCCGGTACACCGGCGCTATACCAGATATTCAACAACACTGATAGTTGTTACAAGAAACTCACTCTCAGTTTGGTAAGCATGACATCTCTGATAATGTTTGTTGCAATCAGGAAAAACCGTAACAATGGATCCAAAATCAACAATTGTGGTTCCTGAAGATAGGCACGGACTCCAGGCAATAGATATTTTAGATCCTGATTTGGTATGTGTGTTTTAAGTTGAGTTGTGTGAATTGCATCGCTGATAGCTGAAGAATTGATTGTTGTACTCATGTATCCATTTTTGTGATTCAGGTAGTTGGAAGTGAGGCTGTATATTATTTCCATGACATGATAGTTCAAATGCAGAAATGGGGGTATCAAGAGGGGAAGTCACTTTTTGGCTTTGGATATGACTTTCGACAAAGCAACAGGTAGCTAACTAATCCTAAACTGGAACAGGAATGGTTTAATAATAGTGATTTGATCAAAATTGAAAAATTAACCCATTCCCTTCTCATTATTTACCCAAATTAATTTAGCGTAATTTTCTTTAGAGACTTCACTTTCCAAATCTGTAAATTTTATGATATTAGTTCATTTCATCTTTCTGCAAGATAAAAATAGATCTCATTTTGATAAGACTCTGATCCTGTTTGGATAAATAGCTAAAAAGTGATTATGTATAAGCCAAAAAAATAAAATAAATGTAAATTGTTTTTGTATAAGTTATATGCTATTTTCATCAGCTATCTTGCAATGTTTATGAAAATACGTTGAACACAACTTATGAAGTCATAAGCTGTTTTCATAGGTTTTGTCTAACTGTCTCAGAAGTGCTTATGTCAGTAGATAGGCTTAGATAAGTCAATCTAAAGAGGCACTTTATTGTTAATAATATTTGTATCCTGTATTTATATTTCTGATTGGTTTGACAAAACAGTTTTCTCAGGAAGTTGTTATCTGTCAAACAAGCATAGCCTAAAGTAGACTACAACTGTGCAAATAATTTAATCGGAATTGCTATCTCCAAATTGTTTTTTTTGTTTTGTTTTGTTGTTAGATTTCCCAGTGATATAATTTCCCACAATCCTAAAGACAAGGTCTTTAACAATCCTGATTATTTCCATTCAGGTTGCAGGAAACAATGGATAGGCTTGCTACAAAGTTGGAATTAATTTATAATGCTGCTGGAGGGAAGAAGATAAACCTCATAAGTCATTCTATGGGTGGTCTTTTGGTGAAATGTTTCTTGTCCCTGCATAGTGATGTAATACATACATTAAGCTTCCTAAATCAATTTTACTTTATTTTGTAGTTTTCTTTAACCTTGTTATTTATATCCATCAAAACCTTGGAATTTTTTCACTGCTGAGATGCAGAGTTTGCAATTTTGTTGTCGTTTGCAGATTTTTGAGAAATATGTTAAGAATTGGATTGCAATTACTGCGCCATTCCAGGGTAAGTAATATTCTATTCTGTATATACTCAGAAGATCAGAAGTAAACATTAAGGATATTTGACGAAAATGATTCTTCTAGCACTTCAATGCAATTTGTAAAGCTGGGACTGTGGGAAATTTGTTTTCCTTAATCTTATTAAAGAGAGCAATGTCATCTGTATGTGGTAGAGAGTAAATAGTTGATGCACAAAAATTTGCATCGAAATGAGGATTGTTGAAATATTGGAGGAAAAATAATGAAAAGGAAATATAGTTTATTTATGGTGTTTTTGCTTGTCTTAGTGAAAGAGATTAAGCAAATATTAAATTTGAAAGTGATAGGTGTGATGCTGTTCCCATCATGCCTTTTGATGGCAACTGTTCACATTAGCTCAATTCTTTTTCTCATAATTTCTGTTTTGAAACGCTTCGGATTCTCTCTGATTTTATAGCTTTTCATGTATTGGTTTTTATATCATCTGTGTTCTTGCAGCTAGATAGAGGTTTCTTAAATCTATTTTTTTACCATCTTGATGCAGCTGTATGTTGTTGCAGGTGCCCCTGGATGTGCCAATTCTACCCTTTTAAATGGAATGTCATTTGTGGAAGGATGGGAGCAAAACTTTTTTATTTCCAAATGGAGCATGCACCAGTTGGTACAGATCAATTATTTTGGCCTTCTCAATGTGTTTTGACTTCAATTATTAGTGCAACCAATCCCTATTTTACAGGGATTTGTCATAGCCATCCTAGCTTTCTCTTATGGTATATATTATCTCTGATATCTGTTGGATACAGATAGTTGAGGGTGCTGAGTATTTAATACTTGTATGATTTCTATGTGAGTTTATTTGACCGTCTCAACAGTTTATCCTTCGGTGATATAGCTGTCCAGATGTATTAAATGTTTATTAACCAGCATGAAGCAAAAGGAAAATACTGATGAATTCACCCTTAAACCAAAGCCAAAAGGCAATAATGATTAAATGATGATCAAAATTCACAATCATTCGTTTGATATCTATGTTCATATCGAAAGCAAAATAGTATGCAATGTCACAATACACAAGAAAAAATATAAACTAGTTTTGGCTGCTATTATTTATAGTTTGTTTATATTATAATTATATAGCATTTTCATGTATGATCACTTGACTTTGATTGCTCGGTTTGTATTTTCCTTGATTGTATGATGCAGTATTCTCTGTTATAATGTTTTTCTTCTTTCCTATGCACAAGATTGTATAAGCATAATGCAGTGTTCTCTATTATAATGTTTTTCTTCTTTCCTAAGCACAAGATTGTATAAGCATAATCTTGCATGTGGACTTTCTTTTAATGTGTGCATTTCGGTATGAACTTATAATACATTTTGCGTTTTTTCTTTTGGTATTTAGATTCCTTGGTTTTCAAAATTACTTATTGAAGATTGTTCCATGTCACAGCTGATTGAGTGTCCATCGATATATGAACTAATGGCCTGTCCTAATTTTCATTGGCAACACATTCCTGTTCTGGAATTGTGGCGTGAGAGACTTCATTCGGATGGGAAATCTCATGTTATTCTGGAGTCATATCCGCCATATGATAGTGTCGAGATTTTGAAGCAAGCTCTTTTAAACAACAAAGTGAGTTACAACTTACAAGCCCTATCTTGCTCAGCTTGCAGTTTACTTGAACTTAGTAAATATGACTGGATTTAAATAATGTATTGCAATTTTGCAAAATAACTTTTGTGCAAATTCCACTACACTATAACTGCTATTTGACAACACTGGCTGGAAATACATTTATATGTTTGAGAATAAATATGTTGCTATTCAAGCCGTAGTTGTCTAGGATATTTACTTGTATGCATTGCATCTTAATTTGATTGATTTGATGTCCAGCTTAATTATGATGGTGAGGAATTGCCTCTGCCCTTCAACTCAGAGATTTTGGAATGGGCAAACAAAACGCGGGAGATTCTAGCTTCTGCCAAACTTCCATCGGGTGTTAAATTTTACAATATTTATGGGACCAATCTTCAGACCCCTCATAGCATTTGGTAATGTCTCTATGAATTCATTGGGTCATACCCCATTGCCCTAAGAATGTGTATTAATTGCAATGGGATTGGTTTAGTACTTTCTCATAGGTATTTAGTATTCCTTTTAATATATGTGACCCTCGCTTTACATGACAACTATTCTGCAGCTATGGAAATGCAGACAAGCCTATTTCAGATCTGCATGACTTACGTTATTTGCAGGTACATTGTAATTTTTTCAATTTTGCAAATATACATTTATATTTATTGGTGCATCTTATCTATCAAAAGGTAGCCAAAGCCATATGGTTCAGTGGACATGTTATTGATTCCCCTGATTTCCACTACAACTTTTTATCCATACTTCCTTTGGAAAAAGTCTGGCCAATTTGCATATGCTATTTGGCCCTTATTTTAGAATTTTTTTTAATTAGTTTAAAAAGCTGTGTGTATATTAATGCAATGAGTAAATTTTAATAACTTTTAAGCCTTCAGAACATCATCTTGAATTTGGGATGCGGCAACCTCTTCTCTTGCCTCAACTTGAATCTGTAACTATTTTAATTAACATCTATTTCCTTTGTTTTATCTTCGATTTCGTATATGTGCTGATTTTTCTTTACTGTGTCGTGTTACATCTGTGTGAACTACTCCCCAGGCATTTCATTTCCTTAGTATACAATGTCTGACTTTATTTTATAATATTCAGCCCAGATACGTGTGTGTTGATGGTGATGGAACAGTTCCAGTAGAGTCAGCTAAGGTTTGTTAACTCTCCTCTTCATATCTTTATGCAATTAGTGATTTATTGAATCTAAGTGTGTCATGAAAGGTATTCTTAACTTTCCAATCATGTACAATTTTCTTGATATTAAACCAATTAAGTTATTTCTACAATTGAAGAAAGAATCTGGCTAAACTGTTAATATATAAATTCTGTATAAGTTGTTTCTGTAAGCTATTTTGTGGAACAAATGCAACAGTGCGTGATTATAGACACTAAAAGCTATCTTCATAAGTTTTTCCAAATATACACAAGTCTTTATGTTATCAAATTTGTTATCTAAATAGATCAAGTTTTAGCAAAATAAAATATAAGATGAAAACAAAAATACATTTTTCTTTATGGGGTCAGTTGGTAGTTTCCCTAAGCTGAAGGTCTTGTCAGCAAAACCCTAAAAAATCCTTCATCCCTTGAGAGAAATGTATAAAAAACAATTGATTTTTTTTTTATCATCACACATCTTGCTATCAAGTTTAGTTATGCGGGAAAAATCTAATTGCTACTAGAATTTGTGGATGTTCTACTATTTACCATAGTTTCACAATTGTATATGAAATTTGGATCCATCCACTTTTTTATTACCGTGTCATTTGAAGAGACACTACCCTGCTCATGGGATCACATTCTTGGTGTAGGTTCTACATCTGTACTCTTTTATAATTTTTTTTACAGTATATGCTAAAATGAAAGACATATCCATATGCTAATTAATTCCTCTCAGGCATCCTTACACCTCTGCACTTTTTTCTGTCCATTTACCTCTAGTACATCCACCTTTATCACACATTACTGCTTGTTTTAATAATGCTTTGTCTTTTGCCCTTGCATGCAGGCTGATGGCTTCAATGCGGAGGAAAGGGTTGGAATCCCAGGGGAGCATCGAGGTATCCTTTGTGAGCCTCATCTATTCAGAATTCTCAAGCACTGGCTAAGAGCAGGAGATCCCGATCCCTTTTACAATCCTGTCAATGATTATGTGATTCTACCCACTGCTTTTGAAATAGAGAGCCATACAGAAAAGGGTATAGTAGTAACATCCCTTAAAGAGGAATGGGAAATCATTTCCAATGACCAAGATGATCAAAGCAATACTGGTGACAGAATGTCCTTGAGCTCATTATCAGTTTCGCAAGAAGGAACCAATAAATCCCATTCTGAAGCTCATGCTACTGTCTTTGTTCACCCTGGCAGTGACGGTAAACAGCACATTGAACTCAATGCATTATCTGTTTCAGTTGATGCCTCATGAACCATTCTGTTGAAGTGTACGTGAACATGGTGGGAATACTTGATGTATATTTGTTTGTGGCCGACATCTCTGTATATATAAGAACATTCATATGATGCTGCCACCATATTCCTCTATGTTCTATGCTGTATAATGTCTGTGTCAGCTGTGATAAAATAATAACATTTGACATTCTTATCCAACTTTGTTAAGAGTGGCGTGCTATTAATATTTGTAACAGCCTATGTACAAAGTTCAATTGGAAAATTATATTTATTTTTATCAGCCTATCTTTTATGTTTTTCATTTTTTGTTGTCCTATGGAATAACTATTGGATGACTTACAGCACTACACCAGTTATGTTTGTGTTTAAACGTTTGTAGAAATGAGCATAAAATTTAACTAGGATAAATTTCATTAAAAATAGATGGTCATACTGCAGTATAGTATACATGATATCATAAACTTTCCAAAGGACTATTCATGGTGATTAGTTTGTTTTATTTATTACAAAAGGAAATTAAGCTTTCTTGTCACATTACATAAATATAAGTTTCTCATACTTTTGGTTTGATTGCAATGCCTTTGATGACAAGCCCCTGCTTCCACATACCACCTTCATATTCAAACATAGATATCTCCATCTCACCTCCATCTTTTTCAGATGCTATAAACTCACCAACTGGAACCTCAATCCACCTTCCCCTTAACATCTCCATTAAATTCACCTTGTATTGCTGCTTCTTTCCTCCCGGAAGAACAAGTCTCACATTTATCGGTAGTTCCCAACCCTGAGCGGGATCTTTCAGCATCACACAAAATGAAACTTGATATAAAATTCCTGGCGAAAGCTTTCTAGTGTCAAATTTTCCATGCACTTCTAGCCAACAAACTCTCTTCAGTTCAGCCACCTCATTCACCCCGTCGCTACAAAACATATCTTACTTTAATCACGACTAAAAACTATGTAACATAATATGCTACAAAATGCAATAACTGATATATACCTTGCATCTTTTTGCTGTATCCATTTCCAGTAAAGTGGATTCTCTCCCCAAGTGATTGATAGTCCTCTTGCATACAACATAAAACAGTTGGCGTTGGACTTCTTCTCAACCCAATATTTCTACATAATCATTTGTTCAATATATAAATAATGATTTTACGTTTTCCAAATTATTTATAATAAAAATAAAAAACAAAGATTAGTTCATTTTGAAACTTGCCTTAGTTTTACTATGTAAGAACACACCAGCTTGTAGTTGATCAAACATCTTTTCCCTAGAAGATTTATCAACCGGCGAGTCAGCATCCTTCAGTATATTCTCAAAGTTGTACGGAAAACCTAGTTGTTTGATCAAAGGTTTAGGTGCTGCTGATTGAGTCTCATATTTGGCTTTTACTACCTTTCTGGAGGGTTCTATGTTTTGTTGAGGGGACAGCAACAAATTTTCGCTTCTGGAAGGTGATCGTAGTTCTTCCTTATTGGTTGGTTCATTTGGTTGGTGATGTGACTGTGAATGTGAATGATGATGTGTTTGAGGCTGTTGTTCTGGTTGTTGTTTCTCTAGCTCTGATTGAGAAGCCCCCATTTCAGTTCAATGGCTATATGTTCTTATTCATGTTTTCTTTTCTTTATATACAATTCTAAATAGTATTATTTTAGAAAGTAATATATTCTCTAGTAGGGAATATTTGCCTGAGACCGTGAGTTGATGATCATTTTGGAATATTTGCCTCAAGCCGTGAGTTGATGATTATAGAATATTTTATTTGTTATATTCCAATTGAAAATATTGTGAGATAAGTTTCTAAATATTTTGGAAGGTTGCACTTTATGATGTTTGGTTGGTCTAGGGCTTAATATCATATGAAGTCTTTTACTCCTAGAATACATCACCTTAAAATGCTTCCTAGTGAAAATCTTTCCCTAACAGATTTAACATTTATAAGTGGAAATCCACGCACCTATCACCTTAAAATTTTAAATGAATATATAATATGTTTTATATATAAATATGTGTTGTTCTTTAAAAAAATTATATGTAGAATACTCCCTCGAGTTAAGAGGGAAGTTAGTTGAGACACATGTTAAGTGGTATGTGGGATAGTTACTGACATGAATTAGAGTTGGAATGTCGATTATATGTCGTACATGGAATTGGAGGATATGATTAAGAGTAAGGGTTATGTAAATATTAAGTGTATGTGGTATTTGAACTCTGCGTATAACTTCTCTCGTGGTCTTAGACCCTTGAAAAATGATAAAGATGTTCTGTAGTTTTCAAAAGATGTTGTAGGATATAATGTAATAGATGTGTACGTGGAGCATAATGTGGGGATACCGGAGATTATTGATGATAGTGAAGTCAATGTTAACATTGAGGATGATGGGGAAGATGATGTACAATGTATAGGGTTTAAGAGTGCAGATACTAATGTTGTGCATGATACTAATATGGATGAAGCTGGAGGTGATACAAATGTGGATGAAGTTGTAGGTGATACAAATGTGGATGATGTTGGAGCAGATAGTAATGTTCATGATGCTGGAGCAGATAGTAATATTGATGATTTTGGTGCAGATACTAATGTTCATGATGCTGGAGTAAATACTAATGTTAATGATAGCATGGATGAAGATTATGTTGCTAGTGAGAGTAGTTTTGAGGATAGTGAGTTCCAATTTAGCGAAGAGTCAAGTGTTAGTGATATGAACTGGACTAAGGTTCTTCCTTAAGAGATATTGGGTGAGGTTGCTAGCTGTCAAAAGAATGTAGATCAGGCTGAGATGATCCATGATGAAAGTGAGGACTCAGACCATTTATATACACCCTAATAGTATTGTTGTAATTCAGTGTGATAATAATAATGGCAACCATGTGTTTGAAAGAGTTTATGTGTGCTTAGAAGCTTTCAAGGCAGATTTTGCAAAGACATGTAGGCCACTAATTGGGTTAGATGCATGCTTCTTAAAAGGAGATTATGGTGGTCAGTTAATGTCAGCAATATGGAGGGATGAAAATAACCAAAAATTTTCAATATCATATGTTGTAGTAGAAGCTGAAATAAGAGATTCATGGCAGTGGTTTTTAGACCTTCTTCTGCATGATTTGGAAGGTTACAATCAGAGGTCTTATGCATTTATATCAGATCAACAAAAGGTAATGGTTTATAATTTATCATTTGTTTTTACTCATACATTTTTATCATATGTCAATTGATTTTACACTCACTTTTTTATCATTTCTTTTATATACACTTACAGGGACTTGTTCCAGCTGTTCAAGGCATTAGTGCCAATGTGGAGTGTAGATTGTGTGTTAAGCACTTTTATGGCAACTAGAATAAGAGACACCCTGGATTGCTATTAAAGGAAGTGCTTTGGGCAGCTGCTAGGGCAACAACAGTTCCTGCTTGGGAAAAGGAAATGCTGAAAATGAAAGCAATGAAAGAAGATCTAAAAACAACCTGAGGATTATGTTGTTACATGTTATAGGTAAGACTTATAAGAATCATCGTAATTTACTTCTTATGTTGAATATTATTGTATGCTTTGTTTGACTGTTGTGGTTGGATTCTGTAGGAAATCCACCTTCATGGAAACTTATTCCCACATTGTGTTTCCAACCAATGAACCGCAATTGTGGCCTGTAGCTGATGTGACTACAGTGACACCACCTGTTATGGGAAGAGCTATTCGAAGGCCAAAAAATTGAGAAACAAACAAATGATGAACCAAGAAATCCTCACATTCTGCCAAGGAAGTTTTCAACTGTCACGTGTGTAAAATGTGGTGCTATGGGGGCATAACAAGAGGAGCTTCAAGGGAAAGAGGACTGCATAAAGGGCTCTTCCAAAGGGTGGCAATAAACAAAAGAAGCCCAAGAAAGTGAAGGCTAACCCTAAAGAAAAACAAACAGAAATTGGTCAAAGTTCACAAGCTCCTCAACCAACTCAAGAGTAGTCTAGGTTTGATTTTGACTCAAGTTATGTCTTGAGTGTTATTTTGGTTGGTATTTTGTCTAAACAATGTTATTATGCATGGTATTTTGGTTGGCTTTTTGTCCAGATAACGTTACTGTCAAACAATGTATAAGGCAATTATGGTGTATTTTGATTGTATTTTGTCTCTCTCTCTCTCTCTCTCTCTATATATATATATATATATATATATATATATATATATATATATATATATATATATGTATATATATATATATATATTGGTGTATGTGAAACAATATATATGAATGTTTATGGATACTCTGGTGTATGTCAAGCAAAGTATGAGTAAATTCTGGTGTATGCAGCAAATCATGTAGCAAATCATATTCTGGTGTATATACATGTCACCATAATGTAGCCTTGTAATTTGTTTTGTCAAGCTTTTCTATTAGAGGTCCTTGTAATTACAGGTCTACATAATTACAGGTCCAAATAAGGCACTTTTCTGTTACATGTCCTTGTAGTTACAGGTCTAAATAATTACAGGTCCTTGTATAACAAGCACTTTTCTATTACATGTCATTGTAATTACATGTCCAAATAACATAAATGTTATGCCAAAATACAGGTCATTGTTAGTTCATTACAAGTCCAAACAACATTTGTACCATTGTTAGTTCATAACAGTTATGTCATTGAATTTGTTCTATCAAACTACAGGTCCAAATAACATAAATGTTATGTCAAATTAGGTCAAATTACAGGTCACATTAAGCATTACTTCAAATTACAGGTCCAAATACCATAAGCACTAGTTCATAACAAGTCCAAACAACATGAATACCATAGACAATTTTATAACATTAACATTAACACTTAGGTCATTACAAGCCATAACAATAACTTTCAACCATTACATCAATCATTACACCATCAGTAAATATATAAACCTAATTAACTATAACCTATTTTGTCATTGTTGTTACAACAAATGCAATGAACACTACAAATAAAAAAATTCAGGTAATCTTCATCTGTTTCTTCAGGATCTTCACCTGCAATTTCAATTCGTCCTCATTGACTTTGTAGGTGTTAATTATCTCCTTCTCCTCATTCAAGTTCTTTATCAGTGAAGAAATTATTTGTTTTATCCTAGGATCTATATCCTCGTCTAACCAAGCAAAGTGAGAGATTTTTTATATTCTTGAATCTTATACATCCCACAGCCATAGAAACGGCGCCCTGGGTTCAAATCCTTTCATGTTGTCATCAACGGAGTTTCGAGACCACACTTGCATACGTACCTTGAACAACCTGAGGACTTGTTTCCATGGCTATAACTGGACTGCTGAGACATTTTAATGGAAGGATTTGAAGGAAACTTAAAGAAACTGGGTGGGTGAGAAGAAGACGAACACTGATTGAGAGGAAGAAGAAGGCGATAAACATTCAAAGAGATACTTTAATCTGATTTAATTTTAATTTTATAATTTATAAACAATTATATTTTAAATTATATGTAATTAAAAAATATGACATAAAAAACATTTAATCACGTGTGAAGCATTTTGTGACATGGAAACAACATATGACATGTCACCTCATTAAAAAACATGACATATCATCGAAATTATATAGAGATCAAATAAATCTAAAGTGAATCTAATTTAAAAGATCAATTTTACAAATTTTGTAATAGAAAGATCAATAATTTAATTTTCCAAAATTAGAAAAACCAAAAGTCCATTTAAATTTTTTTATTTGTTTTAAATATGCCAAACCATAAATCACCCTGGAAGGAAAATGCTATAGCCACGTCAACGAGTTTATTATATGTGTTGGATTTTGTTTAAGTGAAGTCAGTGACGTGTTAGTTCATTATGGTAAATCAAATGAAAAGTTTATGTTCTTTGTTATTTAATTATTTAACAGTAGTTCCATTCAATTAAATATTTAATAATGTAGAAAATAACTAAATAGTCATGGGGATGATCTTTGTCCGCTCAATTAAAAAGGAATTGTATTCTTGCCAACTTGCTAAAGCAATTTCTATTTATATTTCTGAGAAAATAATTTCTATTTGTATTTTAAGATATTAATATTTATTCCAAGATAAAGTCATCCAATTCCAAATATAGTATACATGTTACCTTATTCCTTCTATATTGTATCTTTGTCATTTCGAGAGCTTCTCTTTTTCACCCCATGGTATATATTCTTCCATAAATTATATCTTTTTCCAAATTTAAATGTTAGTCAAATGATTGATTAATAGCTCTCAATAATTATTATATTTTTCCAATGATTACATTGTGGGAGGAATTATACTATGTGTGTGGGTGTTGAGCAATTAAACTAAGAAATGTAAAAATGTAAAGAGATAAAAATAGGGTACATTTCTTTTTTCACCTTTATATATTTTTAACACATCACATGAAATTTTACAAATGTCTTCTGATTCTTGAGATATATTTCTGAATGTACTCAAAGTTTATTGAACGTTGAAATATTTTGGAGATATATATTCGAAATAATTTGAAACATATATCGCACCAGACTCTTCTCTTCCCTCACACTTCTCAAACTCTTCTCTCAACATAAATTTTCAACTTGTTCACAACATCAAATTTCATCAAACAAGGCT